AAAATAAAAACATAAATATGAATCACTTGACAGAAAAATCGAAGGTTTGAAACTGATCACAAAGGAAAATTACGTAGAGGTCAAAATAACTGTTCAACGTGCTTGACGTTAGGGTCACGAGACCCAAAGAAGCTTTAGGGAGATTGTTAGTTGTTTCTGTACGCAAAGGGATAGGACGATGCTGATTAAGTGCCACCGCTTCGGCAAATCTCAAAACATTGGGGTTTTCATTTCTATAGATAACTGTAAATGTTGACCCAGGGTCAACCTGATGACCTGTTTCGAGTAGATGTCTGGCGATAGCTGATGCCGGCGGCTTAGATACCTTTTCTTGTTCGGCTGCTTGTTGTGTTGATAGTTTAGGAATCCGTTTCGGGATATGCTCCTGTGAACTGGAGGATAACAATTGCCTTCATTTTAGAATATGTCGTTGACCAGACGAGAAGACGGCTCCATAAAGCGTTCAGTTCACAAGAATGCCACGTGGAGATTACTGTATGAACACTCCAACAGCTTCGTCCCTATCCAATACAAGCGGTGCTTAATCATGACGCTGTTTAATCGAGCCCGCAGAATATGCACTGACTGTTTGGAATCGGAAGTGCTGTTTATCATACAGACGCTACGAGCCAACGGATATCCAGAGGCATTTATTCGATTCCACTGTAAACTGAAGGAACAATGGAACAATGGATTTATGCGGGTATAAAAGCTAAAGCTTGACAAATCCCGTAGGGTGATCAGTGCAAAAATCATAGAAGTTTGAAAAATTCATTGGAAACCAATTCAGTAAAATCGTTTAACAACGAGTCACTACAAGCTTCTAGACTCACCGAGTTGGAAGTGTCAAAATAATGATCCACTATAACTCCGGAGGGGATCATGAGGTATGGAGTATTTGGTTAAAAGAGTCACCGCCCCTTGAAATTCGCATGGGGCAAAGTGTTTGAGTTTGAAGCGTCAAAATATAAATCCACTGTTGAAATTTGCGTGGAGGAAAATTATTTTTAAATTATGGATTTTTGAGCTCTCAAAATTAGACTGTACTATGGGAGATAGTGTAATGAAGTGAGTGCACTATCAACTCGATTTTTAACTCGATCAGGTTGGGTGCACTGACTACAGATTCTGGGAGAGCATTCCAGGCTTGGCAAACACGCACGGAAAAGAAATTCCGTCGACATTCCAAACGGCTGTACTGCACTGCCAGCTTCAGATGGTGGCCTCTCATATTGTTGTTGTTACTGAGCTCCAGCAGATGGCGGCAGGTATGATTGGGGTCTGTCAGAATCTGAGGGTACTTACTGTGTTAAAACTGTCCGTCTACAATTACCTTTCAAAGGTGATATCGTAGTCTCCCAGCTTGAAAAACATTTACATAGAGCTATGCTTCGGACATTCAATGCCGCCAAATTCTGCCCCATTTGGGACTTTAGGAATTTGCCCATGCATCCAGTAAAGCCTCCTCAACCGATCAACTCCACAACCCATTGTATTTACCAATCCGTTTTTAACTGTTGAAGCAATCGCATTGGTAGAACAGATGGATCCTTGCGTAAGCGCATTAGAAAGCATTTTCCAAAACGGATTCCTAAACTATCAACACAACAAGCAGCCGAACAAGAAAAGGTATCTAAGCCGCCGGCATCAGCTATCGCCAGACATCTACTCGAAACAGGTCATCAGGTTGACCCTGGGTCAACATTTACAGTTATCTATAGAAATGAAAACCCCAATGTTTTGAGATTTGCCGAAGCGGTGGCACTTAATCAGCATCGTCCTATCCCTTTGCGTACAGAAACAACTAACAATCTCCCTAAAGCTTCTTTGGGTCTCGTGACCCTAACGTCAAGCCCGTTGAACAGTTATTTTGACGTCTACGTAATTTTCCTTTGTGATCAGTTTCAGACCTTTGATTTTTCTGTCAAGTGATTCATATTTATGTTTTTATTTTGCGAGTGAGCAGGAAAGCGTTCCATCTCACAAAACCAGTCTTCGCATTGACTTATGTAAAATGATAAAGAGAGCTCATGCATTAAATATGTAGTTGGCTACAAATCCACCCAAATTAGTGCTTATATTTCCATGGATGACTCGGTAAAACTTCGGAACTGTTGACCAGCCATGTGAGTGAATGAAAAGGCGATGTGAATCAGTACGCCGAGAGATTACGCCTTCAGGCGAAATGAATAATTTATACTACGACAGTTGTATGTGCTTACTTATAATGTTAAAGAGCACGCGCAAATACATGCGTTCGCTAACTTCATACAAAAGTAGCGTGCTGCTCATGAACGGCAGTGGGACCATCAAATTTAGAAGTGATTGTCTGCAAACACAACAACATTGTATCTTTAAGTATATCGGTAAATTCTATTGGTTACTAGCTAAAGCAGATTATACCTAACGGTTGTAAATAGCTCGGGGTGCGGACTTGGGTTTTCAACTCCTGTCCAATGAATGAATGATTAGTTTGCAAATGTTATGTGTTGCTAGACTGGGCAACATCGTCATCGCGAGTTCAATGAACTGTTTTGCATAGCCTTGTAAGCTATTCCGGGATCCAAGTGCCTAGTGCTCTAATTCTGATTTAAATACCACGCATCAATAAAAATCACCTACTTGTCGGCTTATGGTTTTTCCAGTGAGCTCAAGTCGAACTGGTGATTTTTGAGATCCAAATGCGTGGGTATCAATGAGTTCTAATCGTGGTAACAACTGGCTAGGCCGTGATCGTTCAGTCTTGTGCCAAGCTTCCTTCTTGTTTGTGTAACGTGGTATTTGTCACAATTTCAACAATTGACCTTACAGGCTGCACCAGCTTTTAACAACATTACTTGTTTATCTTTCACTTAAACGAGTTTACTCCTAATTTTATGTTAAGTACACCCACTGCATATTATTCCATGTTGCTCACCTATTGCTTCCCTTATGCTGCAGATTTCATTAAGCATATACTTCAGACAACTTCATCTATTGGAAAACGTAGGGGCAGCAAATTTGATCATTATTAGTTACGAAATTGCTGTAAGCTTACAATTTGGTAGTGTTTTCCACATCCGAGTACAGTCTAGAAAACATTTTGCATGCTTTAGACCACTTAAATGCAATAAATAAATAGGATGAATCAAAAAACGCGTATATTTCCCAATGGGAGACACAAGTTCTCTTTTGCGGAGTGAAAATTTTGTACTGAGCCAACGCATTTTGAAGACATGTAGGGATAAGTACTTCAAATGATTTTCGTAGTGTAACTGGACCTCAAAGTTTCCCCATTGGCAAAAATAATTTGATGTAACGATGGTTTAGGTAGGCAGTGCAATTTTCTGATGGTCAACGAGGTTTCGTAGTATTGTTGCAAAACAACGGAAGCGACATGATTAGTGCAACTCCGGAACTCAAAATATATATGTTGCTGGCGTTACAATGCTGACGGTGTCTTCAGGTTGTTAGCTCAACTAGTAGCAAATTTACCCGAAAGCTGAATTCCGCAATCTGACATAGTTAATAGACTAAACGCAATTCGAAATGACATTACCGTAAAAAGTGAGCTCAGTACACCAGCGTTACTTTCATTCACAAAACTAGGTGAAGAAAAACTTATACATTATACTTATACCTTATACCTTATACTTTTGCCACAAAATTTATAATTAACTTATTTAATACTAATACTCTTCAGTTTCATAATCTAAAGTCACGGATTCTGTTTCAATAGAGATTTAGTAGGAACAAGCAGTTGAATATTCGCCCTTTAAATTACCTTAAGTGAATCTTACTAATAGTGCACATTACATTTTACTTCTTTCTGAAACCCAGCATCGGTACCATACATTCATACGTCGAAACTTAGGATAAAGTGCCATACAGGAAAATAGAATCTGCAATCAGAGATTTTTAATGCACCATAAACTAGGATATCGCCCAACCTGCCGCTGATATTAACTTTTACATAAAACAAACTAGGGAATCCTTAGCTAGTCTGTTAAAGTTAGCGACAGTAATGCACTGGAAAGTAAATAACATCTACTGTCCTTATCTTGTATTCAGAATGACTGTAACCCCAAAGCTAATAATACTTTATCTTGATGAACTTTGTGAAAAGGTGTTCTGTCAGCACGGTTCCGTGTTGCGTGTATTGAACTGCTTTTGACTTTACATTACATGTCATACCATATTTCCTTCGACACACTGAGTACAGACTGCCACTAGAGATGTATATTTCGATGTATATATTTCGAATGTTGAACAAAACTATACTTACTAATAAACAAGGTTCGTTATATTTATTTCATAAATTTAACAAAGCAGCCTGCTGTTTGTTGGGGCACAACGGTATGATGAAATACAGCCCCAGATTTAAATGGATAGAGCCGCTAGAATTTTTAAAAATACAAGTTGCAACTTTCGCTTTTCCTTGAAAGTCTAATTAGCTTTATTCGCTGTTAGTGAAAACCAGACTGCAAAAATACGTACCAGTTGCCAAATCAACAAAAACAACCATCGTTCAGATTTGATTCATGTCAACCATTTCTATCATGTGAAAATAATCGCGGCTTTCTCATTGCTATGCAAAACTAAATATAAAACGGGACAAGCCTATGTAATTTCAGACACAATAACTTCAATCCGCATAATTTTGACCCCACAAAATTTTGCTACCCGGAAGGTTTTAAGATGCAAAAAAATGCTCAAATTATGACCGCCTTTGAATTTGTTTCGGATCATAGAACACGAAACTAAACAGAAAAATTACAACAGAATTTAAGTGCATTGGATAAATGAAACTTTAGGAAATAAGAATAACCGTGCCAGCGTAATGCATCTACAACAGCAATATAAGCAATAAAGCAGCAGCATGAAATCCACCCACGACTGTCCGCGTACCAAGGCTTATATTTTGCAGCAAGCTTAAAAGCAATTTTTGATCGTTTAGAACAACATAATTTTAATATAAAATACATACACAACTGCAATATCGCTTACCTTAATGTTACTAGACTTCAGAGAACGTATCGAAGTGAGGTCATCAAGAACACACTGTTTCCAGACTTCAGACCGATACTTGTTTGTCTAGACCGACTGTGCGGCGGCAATATCGATTGGTGAGTAAGGTGGTTTTTAGACTTATTGTTAAAACTTAAAATAGAACTTCCTAATTTTGTAACCAAAAGCGAGTTGTAATGCTTAAACATTTTAGTTGCATCTGATGTTGTGTGACCCAGTTATTAAACATATGCACAATTTTATGAACTAAAGAAATTTTGTGTCACACTTAAGTTGTGTGGCCTTAGTAATAAAGGTTGCAGCAAGATTGAGCAGCGTGATACCACGTAGTGCTACTTCAATGATTTGCCTGACGTCATCTTTTCGAAAATTAACACAAAGCGGAGCGTTTATTGTAACAGGTTTAAGCACAACAATTCCTCCACAATTCTAAAATTCTCTACGGGTAACACATAAGCGAAAGCTACAAGGAATACTGCGAAATACTGGGATACTGCAAAACCGAGAGCTGGCATCAGCAGTTGGCAGCGTCACTTTTCAGATTTGCCAATCACTGATACTGCGAGCGTCCAGAGTACGCCTGCGTCTACACAGGAACCATAGGTGACTTTGCATTGTATCACATACTGCTCTATCCACAAACTTCCTATCCAGTGTAAAACTGAAGCGATAAGACCGGAAGGCATGTTGATGGGAATCAAGATTGATTTGGTGCTGACCGCACTCCTTCAACACGCACATCGTTCATTTGAAGTACATGGGGAAACATGCTTCCTAGACCTACCTAAGGTGGTCTCTTGGCCGTAGCCAATTACACGATGGATAGATCCATCTTTGCGCCTTGCAGGTCAAAAAACCGTGCACCTCATACCCCAAGCATCAATTAACAGTCTCCGGGAGACCGCATTTGAGGTGACGGTTTTTGACAGGTAGGTACCTCGCGAATATTCATATCAGGCCCAGCCACATCGGAAATACCAATAAACAAACAGTTAAAATGTAAGAAAAATCAAACACTGGCCTGCTTTACACACCTGCCATATCAACCGCATTATTAGCCTCTGCCTCTTCGATCTTTGCCCAAAGTAATCACATTGATGGCTTGGCACTCGGGCTTGGATGAGGCCTAGATGACCGCATTTGTAACAGCACTGCATGATTGATGTCGAAGGGGCAGGCTCCATCGGGGCCAACCGCCTCCGTAAACGACGTTTTTCTTCATGAAGCAACTAGCTTTCTGGTGCTCATGGGCAACGGCATTCTGGATGTGGTCACACGGTTGATTGTAGTGCAAGGTAGCAAAGTTCCCTCAGTTTCCAAACGCTTTGAACACGCAACTAAACACTCATAAGACAATGATATGTGTTACTTAACTGTTGAGGACGGTCACTGATCACCAAGACGGATTGCTAAACGTGATATAGCTCGTTTGGTGTTATATCCCAGTTAGCTTGCGAATTATGTAGCCCATCCGATCTCCCCATGGCTCAGTGGCTTAACTTGCTGGCTGGTTAGCATCTGCATCTAGCGGTCATGGGTTCGATCCCCAGTAGGGGCTGTAGTATGTAGGTTGTGAGTTACTGGGACGAAGGACCCTAAGAATTTTGAATCAGTAGGTAAAGAATGATGATAACGTAACATAAATGTAGAATAAGTCCTCATGTGGATAAAGGCGATACTCCACTCAAGCAAATCAGATCCCATTTGTGGCTGAAGCCTCCATTCTATTGCTAGTTATAGTGTTAGTACCTGTTTCATTAATCACCTATAAGCGCAAATAACGATTGTTGCAATAGTTTGTGATGAAATATGTTTATTTTCTGGTGAACTGTTTTGCATTCTGGTTGCAGTATATCTGTCGATTAAAACATGACTGATTGCACTGAGTTATCAGTGCACCGCTTCTAAAACTATAAGAACGTCAAAAGTTTCAGAAATGCCAATTCCATTAACATGAGTTCAGAGTTTGAGAGCTTCGTGGCACACCTCACAAAGTCTTCAAGCACAATATAGTCTTCAATCGACTTTTAGCATAAATTATATTATTGAATTTCATGCTGCTCACGAATACTACAGAAGTTCTCGTGGAGGCAAACATGTTTGTGCGAAAACAAACCAGAAATCATTGTCGGAATTTTATTTAATTACTTATCTCTGAAGACGTTAGTAGGACTCCCTCAACATGAGTTGTCTCGATAAGAATGTTAATGTTAGGTGTGAAATTTCGTTGGATGCATTTTCCCATTAAATTTTGTGACGCACAGCTATATTCGCTATTGTTTTGAAGGAGAGCCAATATTCGCTTACTCTGGCAACAAGGATGTTTAGTGCGTTGTTAACGTTAGATGAGCAAATTTTGCAATAAATTTAAAAGATGCCCTTTTTTGGCCAGCGAAAGTGTGCATATAGTTAGTGTGTGCAGCGTGAGAGTAGCATTGCATTTGCTCCGTAGTGCAGGATGTTAACGAAGATCTTCGATTCAGTTGAGCTTTCTACCATGCCCACATGAAATTGCAGGCTAATATCACGTCTCTTTTGTCGTGTCAAATATAGTTTACTCCACATAACAAGTTACATTTCTGTCTAATAACGCAAAATAGTACATTACCTGGAAAATTATAAGCGGAAACTTCATTTATTTAACAGGTACCGCAGACCCATTTGCTCATTTCAGTCTGCCAAATTAACATTGGGCAAGATTTAAATCGATTACTTAGCAATCATGTAAATAATGTCACGCTGGAGCACGAATTTAGCTTACTTCAATGTTTTTATTTGTTTACAGCAACTTATGTTTTCGCTGCTTTGACTGGGATGGAGCTGTGGGAGACTCGTGAGTTGATCGGATCTGCTTGACGATATTTTGCAAATTAAAGTTATTTTTATCATATCCACAAACTTCGCATCCAAAATAATGTCAACAGCCAAAGTGAGCAGCCACTACAAATCAGCATTTATCCGAGACCAACTGCCTTCAAGTGCAATCGCTTAATTTTTCCTCTGCAAGTAATTGCGGTGGCCGATTGTCAGTCAGCAGAGAAAATTAACCAGTGAAGCAGGTAGAGACAGTGTAAAAATTGTTTGAGAACACGTATAAAAATTGCAAGCCTCAATACTTTTGATAATCCTGGATCATAAAGATTCACCCATCCCAATTGTACAGCTGCAACTTGTTTTTATTGCCATCTCCAAGTCAATCGAAGGATAGAGAATTTTGGAGAATCTACATTAAACAGTGCATAGCAAGCTGACAGGTAAGAAGCCAGCCTGGGGGCTGGGTTATAACTGCTGCTAAGAACAGACAGCATACCAGGCAAATGTTGTTGTTACTTAAAAACAGACCAGTCTGTTTGGCATCTCTTTCAACTACTCCTGGGAATGGACAAGTGTGACAACTCAGAACCGTATGCTTGTACAGCACTCTGTACCCAGCTAACCACCAACCTACAATTTAAACAGACAAACTAGAGCAGTTTTCATGATATTATAGGGTGCGTATCAATTAAGCGAGCGTAATAGGTATAACTCTAGTGAAACAGTTAATTTAATTCACAGATAGAGAAATCTGCGCAGAGTATGCAACAGTTTTTAACAGACTGTATAGATAGTACCGTCTTTCGTAGTAAACCAGCAATAAATTGCAGTAATTTTGCTACATAGGAGCTAAAATGCAAGTTTGAGAAAACAAATGTATAATTGGGACGTTTGAATTATTTGTGCGTTGTTGTTTGATGTGGGATAACTTAGAGAACAATGTTGGTTGCCGAACAAGCATTGCATTACAAACGAAATCTTAGTCCTGTTTAATACGGAACCAATTTTCTAGTGTAGTTTGTTCGGTCCATCTGTCATTACAGGACAAACAAAATGTCTAGGCTACGCTGCCTAGAGAATTATCACCATTTTGTGGAAAACATTTCATGCAGCGTTGCTTGTGGTGTAAGCATGAAGCCTTATTCGAGCAGGATGAATGGCAACTGATATTCCATTGAAAGCGCATAATAGTCCTGTTGGTCTGATCAGAGGCACTGGTGTAGTGACATCAGCGGATCGATTAAGAAGCTCTCATCTACTTAGTGAAAGCGAGAACTTTGTGCGGGAGGCTGCCACGAGATGATCGATGAAAGTAGAGTGCAAATGTGGCCGTATCCCTAAATTAATTAGCATCTTGATAGGTAGTCCGGAGCCAGGCATGATAATATTTCATGAATTTTCCCTGTTTCTTTAACTGAAAAGTTGTCGTATCGCAATGTTGAATGGATTAGTTCATAATCCAGAGAAATATAACGAAAGATTTGATGACTAAAACAGAAGGTGGGATAGGTTAACACCAATGCAATACTAGCCATTCCTTAAAGGCTTCATTCCAAGTCACACTACAGCACCCTCATGTTGTGCACTTCTGGTAGTCTACAGACAGCCTTCATTCTCGTTAATTGTAATGAAACCTTAAATCTAGTATAAGCCACAACAGAGCCGTTACTGCGACGTCAAGATCCGATAACATTTTGTCTGCTACTTAGATAAATCGTAGTTGTGAGTCACAACATGCGCTAACTCAACATCCACCCTATCTATTCTTGTCAACACTCTGTACGACACCATGAAATCAAACTGGCAGTGGCAAAATTTGCAAATAACGAGGCAACCATTGCCTAAGCTGGTGCTGTCAATATAAGTATCGGTGATGGGTTTGCCGTTTCGGAAGCATATCAGAAATGTTCACAATCGCGTATAAGCCAGTTAAAATTTAGCTATTTTAGGCTATCTGTACTTAGGTTTTACGTTCATACAGGGGATTCCAAAGACTTAACAAAATGATAATTTTATGCTAAAACTAGGGTTATACTTTAGTCAAAGCACAAGATAAATGTCAGGTTTTAATCATCGTTTTCTTGTTTGCATGAGGGTTTATTAGCAAACAATTGAATTAGTATGAACTACATATTAGAGTTCCTTAGTAGTATTTGCAAAAGACCAACCATATTTTGATTTTTAACATATTATTTTTTGAACATTGATATTTAGATTGTCTACATATCTCACCATTTTTATTTTGCAAGGTTTCTCACGCCATACGCTAATGCACGGTTCCCGCAATCCACATTCAGAGAATCCAAGAAATTCTAACTGAGCAAAATTACTTAGGCTGCGTTTGAGCAATTTATATTGCATTTCAAGTCTATAAAGTAGAAAAGATTCCTGATTACAGGTATATTATAGTGCATGAATAAACTATATACAGAAATAAACAGCTCTATTTGCATACCATCAATGCATATTCGAATATTTATCACGATCGTGATAAAAAGACAACGCAACTGAGGAAGTCTATATATAACTCGACGTGCGGAACATATTACAAGCAAATCTACGCACTATAGTACCATGTGGTAATTAATATAAAAGCTGAAGTATTGTCAGACATTGCTGCGCTAATTGTTACTGTTATTACTATATGCAGTAAACCACCTTTTAATTTACAACATTAAAATGAATACTTGGATTACCAGTGGAATCCTGATAATACAAGCAACAAATACCAAAAATCCCACTACAACAAAACGCATATAAGCTTGTAATTCTCTTTATATTCAATTAAAGCTTAATCGCTGCATTTATCCACTTTACAGCCGCGAACATAATTGTTATTTGCATTAATCATAAGTCAAATCTGACAATGGTTTAACCATCGTTTGGGCAATTGTAGTTCAAGGGCACTTGAAATACTGTAGTTGATTCATGAACTACCCATAAGTACTCGAGTTTAAATTGCGATATATAGCAGCATCGTTGTGGTTGGGAGTAACTTAGCATAGGTTGCAGATCTATAGTGACCACATATGGTATGCTTAAATGTTTAGTCTATTACTTTGTTGTTAAGACTTCTGAATAACAAATGTCTGAGTTTCCGCTTGATTTAATCTAAATCAAAAAATATCAGCTCTAGACATCATCCTTCACTTTGCCTTATACTACAGAAGCCTTCATTACGTTTCGTTCCTTCATTTATCACTATATTCCATTAATTAGTTGAATTAGCAAAAGCGAGTTTTGCATCCCTATTATTATAAAGCTTTTGCAGAAGCAAATTTCTACGCTTAGAATTGAAAAGTGCATTCGCTTTTAGTAAACGTTTGGTATACAATGGGTCCACCATTCCCACATGTTGCTATATAGTTAGAACCTGTTTTACATTAGCAGAATTCAGTATTGAAGTATAGAATTCTCAATCAAGGAACCTCTGCTAATATACATTTAAATAAAATGAGGAATCAAAGCAGTATACGTTTTAATGCAGTTCAGTCTAATCAAGTTTAAACTCATTTTCTCCTAACAATTTAGAGAAGAAGTGGATACAGAACTTGAGTAAGTCGCATCATTATTGCCCGAAGCCAAAAATTGAATAAAGTTCAATGCACCTATCAGTTTGTTTCTATGATCGTCTTCAGACTCATTTGCGCAAATACAGAGCATATGCATTAAACTGCTATATACACCTATCACTGGCGTCAGACGTGTCAGTCATCTCTAACTCACGAGTTATCAACCTATCCTCACTGGTGCATCATTATATTAGTAATATTTAATCACCCGACTTTAATACATCACGTATTTTAACCAAATTTCTGTATGTTCAATTTCACTCAGGATATGCTAGTGGAGCCAACCAAGAGCGAATTTCTCAAAGTAACTCATCTGTACAAAAAAGTAGACTTAGTGGATGAAGCCAAACATCAGTCCTTTTCAATATAGATTATCTAATATCTGTGAAATGCAATGGTCTGTTCGACTAGCAATTGTTTTGTGCTTACTGGTATTCATTTATCCTTTAGTGATCTGATTGGAGAATTTACCACTACGATTAGGGAGCTGCTGAAAGCTGGTGATAACGGAATTGATTATCAGGTAAGCATTGTGACTTCGACGATTTAGCTATTTTTCAGGTACGACAAATGCATATGCCGGATGGAGGAAACGGCTAAGTGATCCGAAGTTTAGTTACTTCACTTTGTTTACTGTTTTTATAACCCTTATATTAATGATACTGGATTGTTTGATAGAGATAAATATTTTATATGATTCTTAACCATTCGAATTTGTGGTCCTGATGCGGATTCTGTAAAGCAATAAGGCACTTTTAGACTAATCTTTTCGTTATTATTCAGATAATCAGATAAAATAACTTCTTTGTTGTAATGAATGAAATCAAGACTGATTTTTCTTAAAATCTGGAAAAACCACCCGAGCTACTGCTTTTTGTGCGTTGCTTAATGATCGAGTTTTATTCTTCTGTACAGTTATATGTTTGACCCTAGCTCAAGTGTTATATATAATGGCTATATACAGAAACAAGATTTTGTGAAATGTATTGTCTATTCGTTAGTTAAACCATCGCAGTACATTTATCCTGTAGCAATACATCAGCTTGATGTGGTAAGGCAGCTGAGATTCGAACATGTTACTACTCGGAATGTTCTTTGAGGACGAAGAGCCGATTCCTATGCATCCTACAGCAACCATATGAGACTTTTAACAAAACGATCAATAATAAATTAACTACGACTATTAAACTTTTCTCTGACTGCATCCATTTTTATTGCATAATGTTTGTAGGAGAATGATTGTTACTTTGAATCTTTTAAAATGCACACCTATCCTATTGTTTGGGTGGACAATTAGACAGATCAAAGGAAGGTAACCAAATTCAGCTTGTTAAGCTTAAGTGTTTTAAAAGGCAAGCAATGAATTTGTGATTAGTAAAATGCCCCGCTCCTTTTGTAAATTGCAACTCTCTAGTTTACATTTTACTGAGGATAATCAACATATCAGAAAAAGCGTGAGAGTGCAAGGCCCACCACCACTACTTAATTCATTAGGCACACATTTTGTGAACCCATTACTCTTTGGTTTTCCGCAAGCGGGGGGTAGTTTGTGCGGGACAAACTAACTCCCAAGGCATACGAAGCGTTAGCTACCATGAATAAAAGTGGTTATCACATAATCAGCTGGAAACGATATACTTGTTCGCAATCGTTACCGTGTCGTAGTAGCTATCGGTTGAAGGACGATAGAGGAAATTGATTAGTAGAAGGATTATTATTTAACTGAACAAGGAAACCTGGTTCATGTACTCCGACAAAACTAGTGAATGCAATCTGACTATATATATGGATATATCCACCGCTCGCCCTGATAAAATAGAACTACCCACCTGCGGACACAAAGTGCATATGAACAACGTTCGAGCCTACATGTGTTCGGTCCATGTGACGACGAAGTAGGAAGTGTATGGAACAGTTCGAAAACGAGAAAAAAGGTTATAAATGAATATTCTTGTACCCATTGTCATTATGAATTCCATAATAGTGTACCGGTAATGACGGTTTGTATAATTTGATGAAGTAGATCCTTTTTGAGAATGCACCTTGGATTTCTCATGCATACATCCAAATATTATACTTGTGTTTTCAGATATTTGCCGTTACTTTGTTTTGGCCATTGATGCACAGTTATAGCGTTTAGTGTTCTCGCTTCACCTACCATTATGGAAGCCTGCTAATGGCAAACAAGTGATTTGTTGATAAAATTTTGCAAAACCTCTGCTACAAACCATGTTCATAATTATAAGTCGTGAAGTGTCCTGTCTTCATTAGTGAGATTTAGCCCGGCTATACATTGAATTCCTATCCATTCTCCGTCATTCACCCTAGTAAAATTATTTCAACCTTTGGAGCTATACGACGCGATAAATATGCTTAATGCCGTGGATTATGAACAAATCTGTAAGACCATTTACCATGGATATTATTCGTGTGCGCTCAATCACCAGTTTCCAATGTGCTAAACACTGGATGGCTGATATTTCACTGTTTGAAGAGTATCCCAAAGTACTCTCTGCCAATAGTAGTGTCGACGTACCTAGCACAATGATAACACAACAGTCTCGTCAGGAGTACTGTTTCTAATTCAAAATATTCACGCCGCATACACACATTAGATACTGTGTGCTAGGATTGTTACGGACAGTTGCTATCTGACCGCTTCAGCTTATCAACCATGCAAAGAAGAAGCGAAAAAGATACTACCAGAATTCTGGACAGGTACGTAAGTTTGCTTATTTCAAAAGAAATAACTAACCTGCTCATTATTAACCTGCAGTAATCAATAGCTATCTGATACTAACGTTGTATTCACATCTTAAGTCGAAATATTAGTCTCACTGTTGATGGTAGCCAATTCTTTTACTTATTGCAGGCTTACATAACCATGTGAGCCCTTTCACTGCCAAACTCGAGAGTTTAACTTGCCTATTTTTATGTATTAAAAGGTTCGGTGCTTGAGATTTGGGACAAACTTTCGGGACTATGTGCTACGATAATAAACCGTCCCTCATAAAACCGATCAAATCGCTGACCTTACATTGTCTGCTCGCATTACTATTACTCAGAGAACATGTCAAAAACACGTTTGCTTAACAGTGTCCGATGTTGTTTCGGATCCAATGGGGTCACCTTTTATAAAGATTATGACACGTGGACGAATTACAACCAAATAAACTATTATATTTGAATCGGAAATTATTTTATTGATCTCAAGAGTAAAGACTTAGGGACTCTGACCTATGCGGCCACAACACTTTGCTCACTGTGTCATGTTCCTGTTTTGAATTATTTTATAAGTATATTTCCCCTTATTCATACGTGACTAGCTTCGTTCCCGCCATTATGTTAACCATGCAGGTTTAGTGGTTGCGTTCGCATCGTACTTAAGCCATGTGCACAGGTTTCGTTCCCAGAAAAATTGGCGCCGACTACTGCTTCTTGTAAAATTAGCCTAACTTTAAGTCTTGGTTGGGTCAAAATCTAAGCATCCAAATTTTCTTAGCAAAATTTATTTTTGTGCGTCAAATTGAAGTGGAGCAACTTTACAAGGCTTCTTACTCAAATAACCAAATTGTAGGCTTCGCAGGGCCCAGCGAAGACATTTCTGGTTCAACCCTCAGCAACAAACTGACAATTGCTTCTTACCAGATGTTATCCTTACTCCACCGAATCGTATTCTACCAGATGAATAATTATCCCGGTAGGACAGAAGGTCTTGTCGACTGCGAACAAAGGCAGAGAAGATTAATCGGCTTGCCGGATTGGAATACTCAAATTCCACTGGACATCAATCACATATTTTATAGTATACCGCCTAAAGTTAAAACGAATTTACAGACGATGGTTTTTTTGACAAAACGTGGCAATTATCTGGTATCCGAAAATACGTTCGCAAGGCTGTAGCAGTCCATTTCTTCTATTGTTCTACGTGTGGTTCCAGTATTGGCTAATATTCTTATCGATTGAATATACATCAAAACAAGCAATGAGAAGCATGTTAGATGATTATTTGCATTGTTGTTACATAGGCATTGCTTTATATGGTATTTATCTACAATTTTAAGACTAGGTGTTAGATAAAAGTATAGGAGTTTTGGCTTCGAATATTGCTACTAGCGGGAAAATGACCTGTCTAGAAATGTTGGAAGCTTCACAAGCTTAATACTAGAGATAACATTCAAAACTTTTCAAGACTCCGATTGTACACAGTTGCGATAAACTGCACCCATCATTCTTATTTCCTTAGTAGATCAGTATGCCTTCACCATTTCTGTAGGCCAGGGGTTGACCATTTATACTCTTATTCATGTAGATATGTTAGCTGTAAACATTACACGTCGAGTATTCCGGTTAGTAGGTGTATGCAAAATGACCTATCAAGGATAACTATTTAGGGTTTAGCCGGAGGCGTAGAAAGTGGGAGCAGGGGCAGTCCGCCTCAAATAGCACGTTACAGCGGGCCGCATTTTTAGTACCGTCATTTTTTCGAAATCAAATATAAAGGGCAAATTTCCACATAATCTCAGGGTTGATTTTTCTAATGTTATTCTGTATTATCAAAACACATTTCCATCGTGTCACACATGTAGAGGAAAATTCCCTCTTGGGTTGCACTATCTTTAAACTGGAGGTTTAAGGCAAACCGAGAAAATATATTGTTTTTCGGCGTCTCGATTAAAAGTAAAATGCGCTAAGGCTAGTGCGCCACAAAAAATGTGTACCTAGGGCTACTACCTTAATTACTCTAGCGTATTGTGCTGCGATCAGATGTGCAGTTGGGAAATTTTATGCCAGCTGGTCTGACGGGACAGCCAGCTTATATCTAGATGTTAATTAACAAAACAACATGGTGAATTGCCCATATTGCTCTTTCATACACAACTAGACTACAGCCAAAATAAACCCGTCATTATCCCGCTTCGTTTAACGATATTTGTTCAGTTTATGCACTTATTTGAGAAGCAAGGAAACGGTTGCAGTCTAACGGAGTGTCTATATGAACAACAAAATAAGGTATCTATCCAAATAGTGGTATTTGGTCCAGTTGTTACGTAAACTGTGTTCGCATCGTAGATTAGTTTATGCATTCTGATAATAGCGACCCATACGGCATTCTGACAACTGCATTTCAGACCGTGGGAAACGTAGTCTTCATTGCTGATCTTGGTCATCACCTTTGCAATATTCTCATAATATCACAAAGTAGAGCATGTTGCTTTATTTTCTTTAAATGTTAATTATTGTATTTACAAATGTATATTGTCTCTTCCGCTTATCTACTCATTCTTACTGACCGCAAAGCATTTATTCTCATATTTCTCGCGCTTACCTCCGATATGTTTGCCGCCTGATATCGGTTATGACCAAATTACCTCCCTATGTCCGTTAAGTATGTGAACAAAAAACTGTTTTTATTAGTCTCCACTCCATCCTTCTCTCCAAAATTCTTGCATGCGATATTAAGTCCGGAAGTAATTGTGCAGCCGGTTCCGCAATACAAGCTATGATCTGTTCCAGGGGTAGATTAGAATCGAGGAGTTGGTTCACAAAAGTATCAGTTACTTTGCTTTCCGAGAGAATGTATCTGTTGGCAATAGAATCAAATTATGTTGTACTGGTTTCTGTCTTTCCGTTTGACTACGTCTGATAATGACTGGATTTAGGATCACAATTCGTACTTCGGTTCGAAGACCTATAAATAAACAGTGATATATTTAGAGCAAATAAGTAAACCTGTACTTCCAAAGTTCTATGCACACTGATCTTATTCAGCGATTTGTGACAAATTATTCCGTAGTCCTCGCGGTGTTGTGCACAAACTTCAGAACAAACCGCCGCACTGATCTACTCTAGGTGACTTGTCTTTTGGGTTTCCACAAGGCAGATCCACCAGCAATATTAACCGTGATAAATCAGTGCGGTAGTGTTGCATAAGTTTCATCATGGTTTGATTAATATCGTTAAGGTGAAAGTCCAAACCGTCTGATAAGCAAAATTAGAACCGACTGAAAATCCCCGTCGTCGGATCTCAAATAGTCTATCTTATGCGTTTTGCAGTTGCTAGCATTTTGAACCATAATGTTGCAATATCTCACTAAGGGATAAAGAAGGTTGGCAATACGATTTTTCCTCAACCTTGGTTTATCACAGGAACTGATGAATCTCGTTTATGTACTTACATTCCTTAAAGTTCTGCTTTTTGTTTGTTCCGCCAGTTTGTTTGTTTGTTCTGCCAGTGGGCTTCCACCTAGCTGTTTATATTTAATGAACTACAGCAGCTTTGGTCTATATAATTTCCTACTAACATATTTCTACCCTCCAAAATCTGGCAAATTTTTGTACCAAAAATGAAGAAACCACCTGCTGATTCCCAGATGCTGCCATAAATATCGTCCAAAGATTGCTTTGCGTGTTGATATCTGGTGACTAACTTAGTGCTGACATATTTGATGACTACCTGAAAGACACGCATGCTTCCTTCTCAACGAAACTTTACTTGCTTTTGAAATTGCTTTCTGACTAACATCATCGTATCACAGAAACCACCATTAAACGTGACCAGTATTCCACCATGTGGCTTTCTTGACTGTTTGTTTGCACAAACTTCGAAACTGGCAAGTCTGTGCTTAGGCGAATGGTAAAGTGTTGATCTTGCTTGTTTTGAAAGTTAGAATATATTTGTGAAAAAGCACATGGTTTTCACAACAAGTTCTTTTCAAAAGTATGTAGTGCGTCCTTAAAGACGATTTCGCAAGAAAAGGTGGGGAATTGTTTCCCATACTTACATCGTCTACTTTTAATTGAGCAATATATAAACCACGCAGGTAAAACACTCAAAGTAATATACTTACTGCAGCACCTTCAAACTTGTACAGTGATCCGTGTTTAATACATTATGTAATCTCAGAGAATCGTTTCAGCAATACGAATTTGATTATAATCTATTAGTTTTGGCCTCGTCCGATTGTTTTTACATTTGATTCATTGATATCAATACTCCGTTTAGATCAGGGATTACAACGTCCAGGCCGCGGGACAAATGCGGTCACGTTAAAATTTAAACTGTCATGAAATATTACCTTCAAATTTTGACTCTTGGAATATGTGTAATTTTGTTATTAGGTTAATATCAAACTGAATATGGCCCTACACATTGTTACCATATAAAATGTGACCCTCCCTGCAAAACGTTTGGACACCTCTGATTTAAGTGATCCACAAATGTAAAGTTGAGAAGCTATATCATCAACCAGTGAGTCTCTAGGGCTTGCAGATTTTGGCAGCAGTTACAGCTGCATCAATATGCATGGTTTGTTGTAAACGAAAAACATTCATTGAGTCTTTACTATGAAAGTTAACGTCTCTTTAGCGTTTTAGGCCAGATGGAGTTATTCCCCAAGCGGTGTACTTAAATATGAGCATTTAAATCGCCTTCAGAAAATCTGATCTTGATGACTGTGCTGTGCTTTAGGATGTGTCATGTTTGTGTCGAGCACCTATTTGTGTACTAATTGGTGGTCTTTACTACGACCTCCGTAGCCAATCATGAACATCGTTACCCAGTCTTAAGACTGGAAACAAGAACATCAGAAGAAATAAGCTATGAAACAATTCTATTCTGCCGGTTCGTAGTCCTATATTATATTTTATATTTTATAATTTTGCATACTTATCAGTCACAAGCATGCGACACAGAGTTGTTGTTTTATATGTGTTCA